TTCTCTTAGTCCAAACAAACGTCAACTGCAATATCTGTCTGGCAGTGGTGGTAATAAGACGGCAGGAATACTTTCCCAAGCCACTGCACTGAACTAAGTTTCAGTATTGTCCAACAATATTGCAGATAGCATTACTGAGCTTAACTTGATATCTCCACATGTTTAGGTCTTTAAGTCACAGTCACCGCAACAGTGAGCGCTTTCTGTAGCTTTCATTATTCAGCGCCCTCTCTCTCCTATACCGACATACCGTCTCTGATTCGCCCCGTCTTGTCTTCTCCCCTGAAGCATGACGGAAGTAGGCACATTGTAGTAACACAAGGGCAGTTTTTTTATTGAGTGGGAGAACACTCACACATTCACACGTACACAAAAACACACCAACAGACATCTAGTGATCACAGCACCTGATAGGACACAGTGATGCTATTGTGCGAACATCCAGGAGGAGGGATTCGAGAGATGTCAGCGATGACAGACGGATGCACAAGAGCACACACAATGTGCAGCTATTATCAGTAAAAGGGAGTGATGTCACAATTGCGGATAGCCAGAAGGTTATTTAGAACAAAGCCAAAGCTGAATTAGTCTAGCTGAATAAAAATGAGTGAAATAACTTTAATTTCTGACCAACTATATCATTTTATTTATTTTTTTATCATCTGTGTCTTGTTTCAATTTGAATAAACTAACTTAAACTTAAAGTAACTTAAGGGTGTATTCAGACCTGAAAAGTCCTTTGCTCAGCTTGCTTGATCCGAATCAAAAGCGGACCAAACTTTTTTCTTTTGCTCCGGTTCGTATTCAGACTGTCCTTTTTGCAAGTGAACTTTTTTATATAAACATATCAACATGTGTGACGATCGGCGCTCCTATTGGACAGCGAGAGCTCACGAAGAATAGACGCGAAACCGGCGGAAAACATTGAGGGCTCGTATCTGCAGCATGTCTGCTCCATTTAGAGCAAAACCACCTTCAACAACAGCAGCAGCTCATATGACACAGGCGAAACACGTTGTTTTAAATATTGGAACAGCGTCGGAGAATGCATGAGGAGAAAGCCGAAGGAGACTGTGCGCTCCGTGCCCTGTCCCACACATGGATCTATGATAATAACCCTGTTCCACAACTTACTGATAACAGCATTGTGTATTGATCTATAATAGCAACGGGATAAACAGACGACAGAGGATCAGGTATGAACCAAAGAACACAATTTACTACAGGATGCGGAATATTTATCTTTGAGACGTGAGTCAAACACGTCAGGCTTTTAATAATGCAAATGGTTTGAAGATGCTGCCATTAACATCACTGTATACTGTGAACAGTTTTAACTCCATAAGCCTGTTACACAGCGTCTCCTCACTGCTCCAGGTCTGCACACGGCTCATTGTTGTTGTGTAGCGTTAGCATCATAGTTAGCAGCATAGTTAGCCGCTGTGTGGCTAATTCCTCCGTTTCTGTCTACGGCTTGTTAAGCCTAAAAAGTGCGCACGTATCTAGGAGTTGTGTCGGATCGACACCGGATGTATTCAGACCTGATTCGACTTGGACCAGAATTCGTTCGGAAGCGGACCGAGACCAGATTCGGATCAGAGTTCCAAACGAATCCTGGTCCGTTTAAAGTGGAGCAAATGTGCAGGTCTGAATACACCCTAAATCTCTGCACTGGCTTCCTGTCGCACAGAATGGACTTTAAAGCAGCTCTGCTTGTGCAAAAATCTCTCCCTGGCCTCGCACTACAGTACATCTGTGACACCATGTATGGGTGCACCCAAACAGCTGAGGACGAGCAATTTTTGTTAACATTGAATTTAGACTGCAGTACCATGGGCAGCCTATATATACTGTATATTTATACACAACACATCAATGCATAAGACTCAAAATAGGAATTGGTTACATTGTCCAAGGATACAATGACAATTTAGCACTTTATAGCCACACCACTGTGGCACCTGATGTTCCAACGTTCCCAGAGGTCTACCATCACAGGACTAACCAGGCCATGTGCTGCTTTGCTTCTAAATCGGATGGGATCAGGTCGGTAGCAACAATCATGCACAAATATTGCAGTCCTTGATACCACTATCTAAAAGCCATTTTAGATCTATTTTTCACAGTTCTTCCATGTAGACGACCTACAACATGGTTTTTCTGAACGGTTCATGAACTCGGGTGATCCTGGGAGCTATGCTGTCTGGGGGTTCATGCCCCTGGTAGGGCCTCCTATGGCAGACAGGCCTCGGGTGACGAGTCAGACGAAGAGCAGTCTGAAGACACCATGGACAGCACAAATATGAGAACAGTGACGTCGCCCGGCATGGCGCAGCCGGGGCCCCACCCTGGAGCCAGGCCTGGGGTCGGGGCTCGTATCCCACGGGGCCCGGCCGGGCTCAGCCCGAATGGACGACGTGGGCAGTCCCTCCTGTGGGCCCACCACCCGCAGAGGGGTCCGTGGTGGCGAAGCGGTGCAGGACTACGTTATTCTCCTGGGGGACTTCAACGCCCATGTGGGAAAGGCCAGTGACACTTGGAGAGGGGTGATCGGGAAGAACGGCCCCCCTGATCTGAACCCCAGCGGTGTTCAGTTGTTGGACTTCTGTGCTAGTCACAGTTTGTCCATCACGAACACCATGTTCGAGCACAAGGGTGTCCCCCAGTGCACGTGGCACCAGGACACCCTAGGCCGGAGGTCGATGATCGACTTTGTTGTCGTATCATCTGACCTTCGGCCGCGTGTCTCGGACACTCGGGTGAAGTGAGGGGCGGAGCTGTCAACCGATCACCACCTGGTCGTGAGTCGAATCTCGGATTCAGGAGGAGCAGTGTGGTTTTCGTCCTGGCCGTGGAACACTGGACCAGCTCTATACTCTCCATCGGATACGCGAGGGTTCATGGGAGTTCGCCCAACCTGTCCACATGTGCTTTGTGGATTTGGAGAAGGCGTTCGACCGTGTTCCCCGGGGTGTCCTTTGGGGGGTCCTCCGGGAGTATGGGGTCCTCTATTGAGGGTCATTCGATCCCTGTATGACCGGAGCCAGAGCTGTGTTCGCATTGCCGGTAGTAAGTCGGACCTGTTCCCGGTGCATGTTGGCCTCCGCCAGGGCTGCCCTTTGTCACCGGTTCTGTTCACTGTATTCATGGACAGAATTTCTAGGCGCAGCCAGGGGCCGGAGGGGGTCCCGTTTGGCGACCACAGGATTTCATCTCTGCTGTTTGCGGATGATGTTGTCCTGTTGGCTCCAACGAATCAGGACCTGCAACATGCACTGGGACGGTTTGCAGCCGAGTGTGAAGCGGCTGGGATGAGAATCAGCACCTCCAAATCTGAGGCCATGGTGCTCGACCGGAAAAGGGTGCCTTGCCCTCTCCGGGTGGGTGGAGAGGTCCTTCCTCAAGAGGAGGAGTTCAAGTATCTCGGGGTCTTGTTCACGAGTGAGGGAAGAATGGAGCGTGAGATTGACAGGCGGATCGGTGCAGCGTGCGCAGTGATGCGGTCGCTGTATCGGACCGTCGCTGTAAAGAGGGAGCTGAGCCGAAAGGCAAAGCTCTTGATTTACCGGTCAATCTTTGTTCCCTCCCTCACCTATGGTCATGAGCTTTGGGTAATGACCGAAAGAAGGAGATTGCGGATACAAGCGGTCAAAATGAGCTTCCTCCGCAGAGTGGCTGGGCGCTCCCTTAGAGATAGGGTGAGGAGCTCAGTCACACGGGAGGAGTTCGGAGTAGAGCCGCTGCTACTCCACGTCGAGAGGAACCAGTTGAGGTGGCTCGGGCATCTGTTCCGGATGCCTCCTGGACGCCTCCCTGGGGAGGTGTTCCGGGCACGTCCCACCGGGAGGAGGCCCTGGGGAAGACCCAGGACACGCTGGAGGGACTATATCTCTCAGCTGGCCTGGGAATGCCTTGGGGTCCCCCCGGACGAGCTGGAGGAGGTGTGTGTGGATAGGGAAGTCTGGGCGTCTCTGCTTAGACTGCTACCCCCGTGACCCGGCAGCGGATGAAGCGGAAGAAAATGGATGGATGGATGGATGGGTTCATGAATACAACTTGTTTCTTACAATTGTCTTAATGCATTCATAGGATACAAAAGACCACAGTGAGTCAAGATTGACAGACATGAAATATCTTCCGGAAATTAGTATGAATAAAACAAGCAATATTAAAATATTTCAAACTTCTGATACACAGTCTGAGGTTTATGAAAGATATTGGAAGAAATGTGCAAATAAAATTAATATTTAGTTATTAGCTTTTAATGTGTCTTAGGAGTAGATAGTGGTCCTGGTTTAACCCAAAAATAAAATGCATAGTGTCTATAGATCTAGGGCCCATGATATGGCCCATGTATGATCCCCTGGATGTGAGGGAGTTTGGCTACACATGACTATACATTTTCTAAATAATTTCTGACAGAAGTAAACTCAATTAGCGAATGCTTCCTTTCCACACAACAGACTCTGCTGGTTTTCCTCTCAGAGTCAGCTGAGACACTGTGCAGGCGACTTCAGACAGGGCCAGTTGGAGGCTCCTTGTTGCCAATAGCACAGAAAGCCTTGTATTTGCCACACAATGCCCTAGCCAGCCAAATTTTTATATATTTTTTTCAACTGATTCAAACATGAAACTCTCTATTTTGTAGGAGAAAAACAACTGAAATTCTAATATTCCTCTGGACACTTCATTTAAAAGACAATATAGGAGCCAACTCACTTGGAAACACCAAAGTATCATTTTGGACAATTCTGTGGTTTATTTTGGATACAAATCCGGATAATGAGATGTACTCTAAAATATCCGTACAACTCCATGTACATTGATGATAAATGTGCGCAGCACATGTGTGGACAGTTGTTCTTCATGCATGTTATCACTGTGTCATGCCTGTTTGTGATGGCTGCTAGGGATCTCTCAATTGGCAACAGAACAGTCAGAAAAACAACAACAATGCCAGAGCATCTGTGCCACTGTAAGTCAGAACAGCAAGTACTCACTGCTTAGGACGTTAACAGTGCCAGTAGAGTTGTCCTTCCCCAGCGTATTCTCCACAACGCATGTGTAATTCCCAGAATCCTCCAGTTTGGCTTTGCTGATCTGTACTCGAGAGTTTTTCCTGTGGGAGACAACACTTGCAGAGCTGAGTCAGGGGAACAAGGGCAAGGAGGAAATAGCAACATGCAAGAACAGAGGGGACAGCAGCATGGCAACAGGAGCATCATGGCTGTGACTGATCCATGCACTTAACAGATTGTTTGCTGAATATTTGTTTTCAAAAATTGAAGAATGTTATAATTAAGTGTTATGTTTATGATTTACAAGTCACAGATTAGTGAGTATTATATTATATCAGACCCCACCAGTCTGAGAAGAGTCTGAGTTCCTTTCACATGCATATTTCCGTATCATGAGCACCTGTAGTAACCTGGCAAAAGCCAGATTGATGATTGTGTAGAACTCTAACGCGTTCTCCGCGATATATTCTCGAGTGTTTGTGAACTCACAAATACCGCGAGAATTCAGCTTGCAGGCAAGGTTACACCTGTAGAGGAGCTGCGACGTTTTGGGGAATTTTCCAAAAGAGACAGTTGCTATACAGATAAAATGTTCCATTTTTCAATTATTAATTTTAGGAACAAAATACATTGCCTGATTAATTAATGACGTCAAGTAAATTGCTGCAACATTATCATTAACAATTCATAAAAATGCACATGGCTGATTGGTACTCACTGGCTGTTCTTTATTCTGACTGTTTTGCTTTTCTTGAGTTCGTTGCCGTCCTTAAACCATCTGTAGGTGGGGGCAGGGTTCCCTGTTGCCTCACATTTTACTGTGAGTTTGCTCCCCTCGTCCACTACTGATGGATTCCTCATACGTTTTAATTTTGCTGGAGCAGCTGAAAGAAAAAGAGAGACTCATGAGGACAGTTTGTAGAGTGATAGTGTGAGAACACATCATACATTGCTATGAGCGGACAAGTGCCTGCGCGACCACCAGATGTAGTCACCAGAGACTTTCTACTGCGTAGGATTAATAACAGAACCAGCAACACTCATCAAAGCACTCATCACGAACAATACAGGGAATGTACAAGAGCTGTCATTGTTAAACAAAATCAAAAAAGTCATAATGTGTCTTTATACAAAAAGTCATATACTCTTCGAATATCAACATGTATAAGCTTGTCTATATCTTTAAACCAAATAAACTACAGAGGGTTGCTGAAGTAAAGGAATGTTTACACATGTTCTTATGTTTTTTTACGACCACAAACATCAAAATATAATTTTGCTTCTAACAACAGAAACAGCAAACTGTGAAGTGAAAGCAAAATTACATATTACATTAAGAGAAAACCCTGAAAAGTGGGGCTTGTATAAGAATTCACAGGAATTAATACTTTCTGAATTGACCTGCATTTAGCTCCTTTCATCTTCCCATGAAGTTGTACTATCTTCCTTGTCTCTGCTAAAGAAAATCAGCCCTAAAGCATGATGCTCCCCCCACCGAATTTGACATTGATGGTGCACTGAGGTTGAGGAGCATTGTTAGTTTTGCACACGTTTGCATTTGGGCCAAAAAGTGCAATTTCTGTCTCATCTGACAAAAGCACCTTCTTCCTGTTGTTAGCTGTCCCCCTTATGACTTCTGGCAAAGTGCACACAGTTGTTATGGCTTTCTTTCAACAATGGCTTTCTTCCTCACATACAGATTCTCCCAGTTCACAGCACCTCCAGAGTTGTCCTTGGGCACATGTTGCATTTCTGATCAGGGCTCTCCTTGTTCAAACCTTGGGGAATTTGTGTATAACTTAATTTAACACACACAAATACATCCATGCATCTCTTGTTTGCTCCTTGGACTTGCTATTAGTGACCAATACACTCAAACTTTAAGCTTTGAGGCCATCACAGAACATCTGTAATTATACTGAGAGTGAATTACACACAGATGAACTCTGTTTACTTGTTAGATGTGAGCATTCTCAGCAATCATTTCCAATGTAATCCACTCAGAGAGATGTTCTATATACATGCAAGCCTCACTTTTCAGGGTTTGTTTTAAACACAACAATATCATGTATCATTTTGCTTTCACTTCAAAATTGTCTTTTACTTTGTTGTGATCTCAATAAAAATATCCAAAACAAAATAAAAAGCCATCTATCAATGTGATATTTCATTTGAAAAAAATAAACAGATGGAAATGATCTATTAAGATCAAGATAAATTAATTGGATTTTCTAGACTTCATAACAAAACAATGTGAATTGACAGCTTCACACGTGTAAATGATTGGTTCAAAATGAGGCTCTGGTAATGTACTAACTTTGAACAGTAGATTCCTCTACAAAGCAGATAATAGCAGGTGCCATAAACACACACACTGTACATGTTCAAAGTTCAATATAGGGTTTTGCCTCTTTAACTCTTTTTCAACAGGAGATTTCAGGCGTCTAAAGTGCAGAGAATGTATCAAGCTGGTCTAAAATCAGCATTTTGCTTGTTTGAGGTTTTGAAGATAGAGCAGAGGGTGATCCATTCTCAGACTGACACATTGTGAAAAGGTTTGGTGATGTTTGTGAAAGTTGCTATAAATGAGGCCCCTTGTTGTTTGACGGTGGCCACAGATTAGGCCTAGTGACCACACAGTGCAGGTGGGACGTCCCCCGCTTCTCCACATCAAACTCTGGGCCAGGACACTTGGCAGTAACTCACCACAAAGAAGCCAGAGGTCATGGCTCTTAGTCCTACTCCAGTGCTACAGGCATGAAATGGACTGCTCAAACCACCCACACATGAATGTGGCCATCTGGTTTTAAAATCAACTCAAGACTTCTGTGGGGTAATGCTGATGTCATTGTCATGTTTTTAATTATAATACATTTGTTTGTGCGACCTTTTTAGAATGAACTATGTTAGCCTATGTCTTAAATAGACAGTTTCCAGTGGACGTGTAAATGGAAAAGGGTCTGATCTAAAATAACTCACAAACTGTATCACATCAATGGAATAGAAAGTATGTTTAGTTCAATGGACTGTATTTGATCAGAACTTCTGTAGCTATAGAGAGACTCTTCTATCTGCAAAATACTTTGTGTTTTTGGAGAATAAGACAAAGACTGTGAAGGAATCAGATGTGCTTTTGTACCTTGGCACAATGAAACCTTAATGAGCTGAGTCTAAGATGAAAAAGATCCTTTGGGCCACAATTGCTTGACAGGGTTTTACTATCCTAAAATGGTTTGAGAGTAAAAAATCCCCCGTTTATACAGAAAGGTTTTATTGGTATACTCATTATATTATATTGGCAAAAATGCATACATCTCTCTATAAAGTCCATTAATTTTATTACCATTTAATAATGGCCTGAAGGTCAATGTTTGTAGTCCATCAAAACACATCCACGTTGGTACAAATGCTTCATTTTTTCCAAATGTTTCCTCTATGATAAGTACATTCAAAGTCAGATCAAAGGGATTCACGCAAGGCCTTTACAGTGAACTCAGCCAAACTGGGCTTATTTCCACAATATTGCTGAAGGAGGGTCATCGTGGGAGATCAAGAACAAGTCTGTCCTGGCCAAGCAAATTACAAATTTTTCATCCTTGCCTAAAAGCTGCTCAAGTCATTAGTATGGAGAAATATTTGAGAGTTACAAAAAAAAAAAAAAAGGCACAAGAAAGACACTTTGCTCTATTTACACAATGTTCAATGTGTTCTACTGTATATATGTTGGGTTTTAGGCTCTCTTGTATTTGATGATTTAAGATAGAATAGCAAATACAATCATGTAAAGGATTAGTATGGGATTGTTGTGTTTCATGAACACATTTTGTCTTTGTTTAAGTAACATTTTGTGAACAAATGAGGCCAAAAAAGGATCTTTATCTACTCTCTTTTTCACTGAAAGATGTGGCCAAGAATACTTGCAATCAAAACTGTAACCTGCGCTATAACTAGTTAGCATTTTTTGGGGGTGTCAAAGTTTGGTACTGCAGCTTTCATGTAATTGTGAATGATTTGTTGGTGAAAAGAGTTTTCCATGACAACAGTCAAAAATTTGTCCAGCAGCACAGATAAACTGCCTCAACAACAGCCGATTCAGTCTATTTGAAGCAGAGGGGCAGCTGCAGATATGGACAATAAAAACTAAATTTGAGAATAGAGGCCTGTCCAGTGTGTCAGCAGCTCCGGCTTTCCATTAGAAAACGTGTCCCAAGATCATTTCAGAAACAACATGGTCTGATGAATTAACACTCTCCTACTCACATTATTGAGCTAACCTTTCTGCTTCACTCCCAGCAGCTTAGAGAAGGAATCCCAGGCATGCCTTTGTATTTCCCTTCTAGACAAAGTATCCCTGATTACTCCAGTGTTATGTCACTTTGCTGCACGTTGTCAGAAGACAAATTACATGGTGAGACAGCCAGAGAAATGGCTTTTGCATGTGGGAATGGGCTTCAGACATTGCACAGCAGTAACTGTAACACAACATCTGTTCAAAGAGATCAATTCGACAGCCTCCCACTGAAAGCAACACACGTTCTCAAAATAATTAGCATCAGGTCTTTGTTTCTGACTGAAACTCTAGGAGGGAATTCTAAATTCTTGGGCTTTGACTGAAATATGATCCTCAACATTGACTTGACTGCATAGAGTAAGAGAAGAGAAGAAGACAAAGAAATACATAAAGATCAAGAAATTATTTCTTTCAATGGTGTTCAAGTCAATATTGGCTGTTTATCAATCACAAAACTTTAAAGAAATATTATGCACATCAAATCAAATCAAACACACGCACACCGCTAAAAAATAGTAATCTTTGTATCTTTGTATGTGACATTTGTATATAACCCCATGGGAAAAAACAGCTCAATTACAGAAGAACAATGAACATTTATGAGTTAATCAAGTGGTCTTTAATAATGCAACACAAAATGAGTCAGTTACAATGAGGTAAACATTGTCAATACATAATGGCTATTTTCTCAATGGAATAAAGTTTCTGTGCATTCTCATGAAGCTGAAGAAATGGCTATAATTTCTTGTTTGACTATTTAAATGTGTCCAAGCATGTACAGAAAGTCCTCTGACGCTATATTTCAAAACATTCTTGTGATGAATAATTTAAGGAAGGATATTTTAATTACAAAGGTGTGGTAGGTGATAGAGCATGATGAGCATCTGGCATGAAGAAGAAACAGCCAACTCTTGACTTAAGGAAATGATTACTACCCTCGTAGAGTCCGCACGCAACCACTGCTAACAGACATGAACTTGTCTAGTTGTTTAAAGAAAACAACAAGATAAATGCGTCGTTCACAAGTATATGAATATATAGAATTAAGGCATCAGCTAAGTTCACACATGCATCTGTTTAGGGCTGAGAGATTTAAAGAAAACAGCATGATTGCAGTTTTTCAAACAAAATATATATTTTTTGCCAATAATGTATTTCTCAGTCTGACTCTGGACAGAATGTGCTTGAAAGTTTACACATCCAGCCATAAATGTTGTTCTGGCCATATATTGTTTTGGAGATTATGAATTATAAACCACAGCCTTATATGGTTTTGTGAAGCCATATATTGTCAAATTAATGTGTCTTGTATTTTCCAATAATAACATAATTGAGCCAATCAGTAGATATGTGCAGGTCATGCAGGGTAGCATTTGGCCAAGAACCTCATAAGCACCTAGCAGACAGGACTTTATAGATGTTGAAGGGGGTTAGTTTCTCTTGTCATTATAGACATATGTTTTGCTTATACACAAACACAGAATAAGAGAATGTTCCTAAATAGTATGAATATTAACAAATACAATAATGATATTACATGGACCTTATCATGCCCTATTTTAGTCAATATCTTGAAAAAAAACAAATAATCAA